GAGCTGAGGAGAAATTTCTTCTCTCAGAGGGTTGTGAAACTGTAGAATTCTTTATCCCAGTGGGCTGTTAAGACTGGGCCATTAAGTCTATTCAAGGCTTCATTAAGAAAATCAATAGTTATGAGGTCAAGGCAGGAAATTGAAGTTGAGGATTATCATATCACTTATGATCTCATTGAGGGAGCAGACTCAATGAGTCAAATTACCTACTTCTGTTCCTACATCATATGATCCCTGTTCCACTTCCTGAAGTTCTATGTCATTGGTGTGGCCAGCAATTGTTGCTGTCTTTCAAATTTGCCACAAGATTCACATTGTGGGTATTGGTAGGGTGGAAGGTCAGACCATTCAGTGGATCAACCTCTGCCATTCTGGAGATAGATTGAGAGAGAAGTGGTGAAAGCTGAGCTGTTAGCTGAATCCGCAAGTTTAACATGGGAATGAATGTGTTTGTTAGGAAAGAGATTGTCATGATCAGCTTCAAGTGGGCTAAGAGCTTGGGAAGGTAAGACGGGGTTGTTGGTGTCGCTGCTTACAAGGAACTATGCCAGGGAAAGCACAGAAAAAGAATATGTAGACATCCAAAGGAAGACGGGCCTGGCAAGTTAGCAGCAGAGTAGGAAGATAGAGGTATGCTGTAGGGTTGGGGTAGAGATTTATAGAACAAATTACCCCAGGGGAGAAATGAAAGAATGCATGATGGTGGGGTATTACTGGTCCAGGAGAGAGAAAGGGAAACAAAATGGACAAACAAACAAATTAGAAGTAAAGGCATAGTGGTATTGTCACTGGATTAGTAATCCAGTTAATGGTTTCTGGACAATTGTTCGAAACCTACCATTGCAGATGGCGAAATTTGAATGCAATGAAATCTGTAGTTAAAAGCTAAGCTAATGGCAATCATTTAACCACTGTTGGTTATTGTATGAACCCAGCTGGTTCGCTAATGTCTTGGTCTGGTCTGCATGTGACTTCAGACTCCTGACACAGGACCACTTTCATGCTAAACAACGAAGTCGGGTGCAATTGACAGGGTTAAGCAAACTCCCAACCAATGGATCAGACCTAAGGTCTGTAGTTCTGGTACAATCAAACGACTAACAGGAGGTGGAGGCTTCACCAATATCCCCATCCTCAGCTCATCATTACAAAAGACAAAAGGAAAATACCGCAAATGCTTGAAAACAAACACAGAAAATGCTGGACAAACCCAGCAGAACTGGCAGAATCTGTGGAAAAAGAAACAGATGTATGGCTCTTTTTTCAGAACTGAAAGATGTTAGAAACTGTTTCTTTGCATAATTTGATGCCCTTCTTTCCATCATAAAGTTAGAAATGCTGATGCTTATTTGTAATTGCACGAAGTTCAGCATTATTCATGACACTTCAGGGACTGAAGCAATCCAAGGCCATGTACAGCAAGACCAGGACAAAATTTTGTGCATGGGCTTGGGTGGCTATGTGGCAAATAACATTCATGTCACACGTGCCGGGCAATGACCGTATCCAATAAGAGAAGCTACACGTCGCCCTCTGACATTCAATGGCATTACCATTACTGAATCCCACTATCAACATCATGGGGGTTACCATTGACCAGAAACTGAACTAGATGAGTTATATAAATACTGTGGCTTCAAGCGCAGGTCAGAAGCTAGGAATTCTGCAGTTAGTAACTCCCTTCTAGGCTCCCTAAAGTCTGTCTCTGCTCCCGTACAAAGCACAAGTCAGGAATGTGTTTGAATATTCTCCACTTGCTGGGTAAGAGCAATACTCTTAACAATACTCTAAACTTGACACCATCTAGCCTGCTTTGTCGGCATTATATCCACTACCTTCAACATTCACTACTTTCAACATTCACTATCTTAATTTCCAATATACCGTGGCAGCAGTGAGTTCTGTCGACAAGTACACTGCGGTAACTCACCAAGTTTCATCCAACAGCACCTTCCAAACCCAGGAATTCTATTAGCTAGCAAAAGGTAACAGATGCATAGAAACAACACCTTTTGTAAATTTTCTTCAGAGTCATACACCAATTTGGAACTATATCATATTCCTTCATTGTCACTGGGTCAATATTGTGGAACTTCCTTCTTAACACCATTGTAGGTATTCTACACCCAAGGACTGCAGTAGTTCAAAGGTGATAGATTCTGGACCAATTTTTTAAAAAATCCAAATTGCGCACAGGCAAGGAATTATCAACAGTCCTGCCGCTGGTTGTGTATTAGCTATTTTTAGGATACATTTATAGAGTCATAGAGTTGCATAACATGGAAACAGATCCTTTGGTCCAACTTGTCCATGCGACCAGATTTTTTTAAATTAATCTAGTCCCATTTTCTAGATTTGGCCCATACCCTCTAAACTCTTCCTATTCATGTACCCATCCAGATGCCTTTTAAATGTTGTAATTATGGCAGCCTCCACTTCCTCCAGCAGCTCATTCCATACATGACCACTCTCTGTGTGGAAAAACTTGCCCCTCAGGCCCCTTTTATATCTTTCCCTTCTCACCTTAAACCTATGCCCTTTAGTTTTGGACTCCCTACCCTGGGAAAAAAACCTCGACTATTCACCCTATCTACGCCCTTCATGATTTTTATAAACCTCTATAAGGTCACCCCATAGCCTCTGATGCTCCAGGGAAAATAGAACCGGCCTATTTAGCATCTCCCTGTTAGCTCAAACCCTCCAACCCTAACAACATTTTTGTAATTCTTTTCTGCACCCTTTCCTATATCAGGGAGACCAGAATTGAATGAAGTATTCCAAAAATAGCCTAACCAATGTCCTATATAGCTGCAGCATGACATCCCAACTCTTATACTCAATGCACTGACCAATAAAGGCAAGTATGCTAAACGCCTTCTTCACTAATCTGTCTACCTGCGCCTCCATCTGCAAGGAATTATGAACCTGCAACTCAAGGTCTCTTTGTTTGTTAACTCTCCCAGGATCCTACTTTAAGTGTATAAGTCCTGCCCTAATTTGCCTTTCCAAAACTCAACAGCTCACATTATCTAAATTAACCTCCTTCTGCCACTCCTCGGTAGTGACCAAGGTCCCTTTGTACTCTGAGATAACTTTCCTCACTGTCCACTACACCACCAACTTTGATGTCATCTGCAAGCTTACTCACCTTTGCACCGAAATTCACATACAAATTATTTATATAAATGACAATAAGCAGTGGATCCATCACCAATCCTTACATTGCAGGCCATAGGCCTCCAGTCTGAAAAATAAGCCTGGAGCATCACCCTCTGTCTCCAACCTTCAAGCCAATTTTGTATTCAAATGGCTAGCTCTCCATGGATTCCACGTGATCTAACCTTGCTAACCAGTCTATTATGCGAAACCTTGTCAAACACCTTGCTGAAGTCCATGTAGACTGGAGAATAGAAAAGGGACAATAGTAAAGAATGCAAAGTAAAAGAGAAAGGCCCCATAGTGGGATAAAGTTCACAGACTAAAGTTCACACACAAGACGGAGATTAAATTTCAAATGCTATTTATAGGGTACAGAAATGGAGTTTGCACTAATGAATATGTTCAAATTTATGAATGAGTTTACAGGAATAGTAATCCAAAGGTCAGGCCAGTGCTCTGGGGACACAGCCTCAATTCCTACCATGGCAGCTGGTGGAGTCAATTCATGAAATGTAGAATTGAAATTAGTTTCAGAATTAATTCACCATTACTGAGGCTATCATTGGTTGTCAGAAAAAGAAATCAGGTTCACTAATATCTTTTAAGGAAAAAAAACTGTCAACCTTATCTGGTTTGGCCTGCATGTGACTTCTGATCCATAGAATGTGGTTGACTCTTAATTGTCCTCTGCATTGACTTAGAAGCCACTTAGTTAAAGGTTAATTAGGGATGGGTAACAAATGTTAGCTTTCCCAGCATCATACATCCTATAAAAGAATTTTTTTTTAACAATCCAATAGTTGTGCTGAAATTGTTGCAGAAAGAAAGCTAGAATTAAAGTCAATCTAAGAACTAGAAATGGTGGTGAAATGTACTTTGGCTCAGAAAAGAGAATCAATCTTCAATCAGGAGTGGACAGTAGCTGCCAATAAACCAGTCAAAGACTCAGCAAGATACAACAAGGTTTGAGGTTACTGCATTGGCTGAACAGAAGGTTACTTTAAAATTTTAAGTAGATCAGAGACGCAGCAGCTGAGTCATAACTATGATGTAGTACAGTGCAGAGTGTAGTCTTAATGTCCAGAGATGTCTAGGAACTTGAAAGTCAAATTTGAGGTAAGATTCCATGCACACTGAGGAATGCAACCTAATGGTTTTAGATGGCAGCTTTAAATAATAGTTAACTTGTAATTTGGACTAATGTGCACACCAATAAAGCCAGGAGAACTTAAACATTGTAAGAGGAAATTGAGGAAGAAAGGGCGAAGGTTGCTAAGGAAAGAGGTGCACAGTGATGAGCTCCTGAGGGGGCTGATTGCTCGGGGTCTATCTTCAAACACGTCTTTACCTAGAAACTGCTGTTAGCTCATTTATTACTTTCAGATCTAAGAGCTCATGCAACCAGAGATTTCAATTATGGCAAGAAATGTAAAACAAGCAGCAAGAAATATAAAACAAGCCGAATACAATGGATGTTAATTTTACCAATCCCAGTTTGCCATGATCTCTAGTGCTGAAAGAAAAATGTAAGAAATGTTATTGTAAGAAATAATGAATTACCCCTGTGAAAATTTAATTTTTTTATCCAGTAATAAGTCGGAATGATTGATAGGTAAATTAAAGACCTTAGCATTATTACAATTCTATCTTTCGGTCATAGAGGTTGCTGCACTTGAAAAGATTTAGTTTGCTTTAAAGATTTTATTGCATGCTGAATTATCTGGAAAATTGCACTCTTCGATAGATATAAAACATTCAGTATTTTTCCACAGATGAATAAGTTTGATGATAGTTTATGTTTCTTTAAATAGTGTTTATTTATATCGTATTCTCATATGGAGAATTTCCAGAGCTGCTCATCTGTTATGGGAAAGATGCATTCTTCAAGGACTAAAAGGACAGTAAAAGCTGCCACTGTGATTGGATCTTCACCATCTCAACCAAAGACGAGTGCTGAGATCATTAGCGAGGCCCGTTCTTCACTGAGAAGTTTAAAGACTCAAAGACCATTTACTCCTAAAGATGATCAGAGGAAGCTTTTTGCGTCTACTTCTTCCCGTGAACCTGATAATAGGCCTCCCTCTGCATTCAGGTAACAACAATATTAATTTGGATATATTCCCATGTACCCCTATAATGGTATAGATTCAGTGTATTACAGTTATAGATTCATTTTATATGGCAACATTATTTTTGAGTTAAATAGAGTATTTGTCAGGGATTAGTCTCAGTTTTATTTAAATTTTTTTTTGGAAGTTTTGAGTTAACCATCAATACAGAATAAGGAGGTCTTGTGGTGCCATGACAGCATCGCTGATTGTGAGCCAGAGCTCAAGATTTAGTCCCACTTGACAGCTTGATGGCCAAGGAAAGTGCACCCATAAGGCTGCCAAATAAGTTGATTACCAGCTTAATTCCTTCCAATATATGCCAGTGGCAGATATGAAAAGAGGGAAAGATTCGTGGTCGGTCATATGCTGGAATGAAATTGTGGCCTCTGCCCAACGATCTACAGCTCTAGGCTACAAGATGTATGTAAAATTGTATGTTGCCACTGCAACTCATGTATCTTGCAAAGCTGGTTAGCTCAGTCTGCTGGCTAGCCAGTTTGGATTAGAATAGTAACAATAGCAAGGAGTTCAATCCTTTTCTGGCTGGGATACATTTAAGATCATCCATGGCTTTCTTGGTGGAGATCACAGTGCAATGGGTTGGACTTGTCTTCAGGGAGAGAACTGAAGGAATAACTGGGAAAACACAACAAAACAAAATAACAAAAAAAAAATTATCCATTGCCTTCTATGCAACAAAGTACAGTAAAATTGTGGTAAGTTGAATTCCAGGGGACCTGCCCATGAATTCATGTAAAACAGAGCTTCACAATAGCCGAGGAAGCCCTTATGTAACCTAATTTGTATGCAAACACGCTCCATGTCAGAACAAAACAAATTATTACACTGTACAGTGATGCAATAGGTATGTGAAAAATGACTACTTTTCAATTTTATTCACACCTTGCAATGGCCTGACCTTGTTCTGTAAAAGGCACTGAAAAATGTTGAGTTAGCTCTGGAAAGACTTAGTAATCTTTTTCGGCTTGGTTTGCTGTCATTGGACAAGTACGATGTAGTGCGCCATGTTGGAAATGGAGTAAAACAGATTTTCCATGATTTTTTTGTTTGCTGCAGTCTGTTGTGCATCAATTACTACAACCTACATTTAACTACTTATTAAGAAATCTCACAGACAATCAAATATTGAAACATTTATTTAAACTTTATTGCATGTAGCAACCAAAATAAGACCCCCTCAAGCAAGTAAGTTAAGCCTCAACCCAACCTATCTATTACCTGATTAATGGCGGAATTTAGCAATTATTCCAACCAACAGCATGTCTGTGCATGTCTATTGTTTGATCCTTGTGCATTATTGTTCTCCAGGGTTCTGAAGAATTTTGCTGAAGAATTCTGAAGTTGAATTCTTAGAGGATTTTCTGTCTTGCTGAGCGCATGGTGTGACATTATTTATGACACGTCTATAGTCACCAAGTCTAGTTAGCTTCCTTATCAGGAATGAAGACCAGCTGCTCTCAACCTAGCTTTTCTATTTCTTGTTACATTCAGTGTTAGCTGTCTGTCTGAAGCACAGCCTGTAACCCCTTAAATTCTTCTGCAGGCAATCTTAATTGCCCATTTGTCACAAGGCAGCTAGTTACCAAGCAGATATCACCTCCTGTCTCCCAGGAAACAGTTTTGTTTACTCCTTTTTCCATTACTAATTGGCATGTTGCTTTTAATTCCTTTAAAACAGCTTGTCCTTGTCCTTTTCATCTCAGGAAACAGTTTATTCCAGAAACAGTTATTGCTGATTCTTTCAATCCATGAACAATAGTTTACAGTATCACAGGTCCAAACTCCCACCGCATCTCTATGCTTTTTGAGGCTTCTGCTAGGGAAGTAGGCAGGTGAGTAGGTGGGCAGTTGTTGAGCTTGTTAGGGTCATCAGCTTCCTTGTGCTCCTTGGTTAAAGAACTATGATGTATAGTTATCTCATCTGTCAGTTATGTTGTGAAGTGTTTAGCGTCATGACTTTTCATGATTTTTTTTAAGACTTTCTATGCCAGTTTCCTTTTGGTGAACAGAAAGAGTCTCATTATTATGTTGGTTGAATTCACCCTGCTTCTTATAACTTTCAACATCTTTTACAACCATAGCCAGTTAAACCCAATGTAGTGGAAGCATTTGGCGATTGTAGCTACATCACCATCTTGCGTGCCTTCTTTATCATGAACGTGCACTCAAAACAGTTTCAGAGATAGTAGGAACTGCAGATGCTGGAGAATTTGAAATAACAAGGTGTAGAGCTGGATGAATACAGCAGGCCAAGCAACATCAGAGGAGCAGGAAAGCTGACGTTTCGGGCCTAGACCCTTCTTCAGAAATGGGGGAGGGGAAGAGGATTCTGAAATAAATAGGGAGAGAGGGGGAGGTGGATAGAAGATGGATAAAGGAGAAGATAGGTGGAGAGGAGACACATAGGTCAAAGAGGTGGGGGTGGAGCCAGTAACGGTGAGTGTAGGTGGGGAATTAGGGAGGGGATACGTCAGTCCAGGGAGGATGGACAGGTCAAGGGGGCGGGATGAGGCTAGTAGGTAGGAGATGGGGGTAGGGCTTGAGGTGGGAGGAGGGGATAGGTGGGAGGCAGGACAGGTTAGGGAGGCGGGGACAAGCTGGGCTGGTTTTGGGATGCGCCTCTTTGACCTGTCTGTCTCCTCTCCACCTATCTTCTCCTTTATCCATCTTCTATCCGCCTCCCCCTCTCTCCCTATTTATTTCAGAATCCCCTTCACCTCCCCCATTTCTGAAGAAGGGTCTAGGCCGAAACGTCAGCTTTCCTGCTCCTCTGATGCTGCTTGGCCTGCTGTGTTCATCCAGCTCTACACCTTGTTATCTCGTGCACTCAGAACAGTTGCCTTGATAGTTTGAGAAATCAGCTGCTGTCAATAGTTAGTTTTTAGATTCTTAATTGCCCTGAGAAAGAATCATATTGCACTCAAAAAGTTTAGCTCTATTTCTCTGTGCACAGATGTTGCCAGACCTGCTGCGTTTCTCTAACAATGTCTGTTTCAGCATTCTCCTCTTGTTGTTTGTTTTCCCTTTACTTTGGATGTTTTGGCTATTGCATAGATGAGTAATCATGGATTAATATTCAAAGCTGTAATATGTAGATCTTTTGCTGCAAACAATTTGTTTGGTTGTATTTTACATTGCCTTTAAACCTAATACAGTAAAGGAGCTCAAAATAAAGACAAACTTCTTTAAGAAATATATCTCATGCTTTGTTTATGCAGTCTCCATGCTCGAAGCTTTGAAGGTAGTGACTCAAGACCCATATCAGGAGCACGTCTCACCCCTCTGGATCATGTAAGTAAACCAGAAGAAAGCCATGTCAACTTCTTTCAAATTATTTTAAAGTAGAAATGGAATAAATGTGAGCAATGATATGGGCTTTATTCAGTTATGGAGTGGCACCGTGTAGTATAAAGGTGTACCGACCCATTTGGATCCACAGTTTGTACCAAGCTAAAAGGCAGTGGCTAGGATTACATGGGACCACAATGCAGAAACAGGCCATGAGCCTCCACCAGTCCATGTGGATGTGTATTCATAACTATTTCCATCTTTCCTCATCTTAATCTGTTTTCATAATCCTCATTCTCTTCTTCCTCATATGCTTGTTGAGCCTCACCTTAAATACATTGAAATGAATCATTTAGAGTCACAGAATCATACAGCATGGAAACAGACCTTTCAATCCAACTCATCCATGCTGACTAGGTTTCTCAAACTAAATTGTCCCATTTTCCTGCATATCCCTCTAACCTTTCCTATTCATGTACCTGTCCAAGTATCTTTGAAATGTTCTAACTGTACCTACATCTACCACTTCCTCTGCCTGTTCATTCTATGTACAAACCATCCTCTGTGAAAAAGTTGTATCTTAGGTCCATTTTAAATCTTTTCCCCTCTCACCTTAAAATTATGCCCTCTAATTTTGAACTCCCCTTCCCTAGGGAAGAGATCTTTGTTTCTTAATTTTCTATACCCCTCATGATTTTATAAACCTTTATAAGGTCACTCCTCAACCTCCAATGCGCCAGGGAAAAAAGCCCCAGCCTCTTGTTATAACTCAGAATCTCCAATTCTGGTAACATCCTTGTAATACTTTTTGCACCCTTTCCAATTTAATGAAATGCTTTGTAAAGCAGGGCAACCAGAACTGTACACGGTACTCCAAACGGGGCCTCACCATCTGCAACATGACGTCCCAACTCTTATACTCAGTGCTCTGACCAACGACAGCAAGTGTGCCAAACGCCTTCTTTACCACCCTGTCTACCTGTGACTTTGAAGGATCTATGCACCTTAACCCCTAGGTCTCTCTGTTATTTCAGCCACATTCCCACCACTCTTTTGGTAAAAACTTTTCTTCTGAATTTCCTATTGGATTTTTTGGTAACTACCTTTCCCTTTACCGGTCTCTGGTTATGCTTTTTCCTACATGTAAATTTAAAGGCCTCTCTTAGATCGCCCTCAGTCTTTCTTTTCCAATAGAAAAGAGGCCTGGCCTATTAAGACCATAAGACTATAAGGTGTAGGAGCAGAAGTAGACCAAACAGCCCATCGAGTCTGCTTCACCTTTCAATGAGATCATGGCTAATCTGATAATACTCAACTCCACTTTCCTACCTTTTACCAATAACCCTTGATTGCCATACTGGTTAAAAATCTTTCTCAGACTTCAATTTACTTACTGAACTAGCCTCTAAAACAGCAGTGCTTAATAAGGGATTACAACTTACGGTCTGAGACTCTCCCACAAGAGGAAGCAACCTTTCTCTGTATCTATCCTGTCAAGTCTCCAAAGAATCTTGTATGTTTCATAATGTCGCCTCTCATCCTTCTAAACTCCAATATGTCCAGGCCTAATTACTCAATCTCTCCTCCTTAGAAAATCCCTCTATGCCTGGAATCAATCTAGTGAACATTTGCTGAGTTGCCTTCATTGCCACGATATTTTTTCGTAAATGAGGGGTCCAAGAGGGTTCACAGTGTTCCAGGTGTGGTCTATCTAGTACTTTGTGTAGTTTTAGCAAAACCTCCCTTTTTTATACTTCATTCCCTTTGTAATAAAGGCAAATACACGTTTGCATTCCCAGTTACCTGCTGAACTTGGTATACTAGCTTTTTATGATTTATGCCGAGGACTGCTAAATCCCTCTGGTTTGTAGTTATCTGCAGCCTTTCTCCATTTAGGTGATATCTAGCTACTCTATTTTTCCTCCCAAAGTGCATAACCTCACATTTTCCCACATCGTATTCCATCTGCCAAGTTTTACCCACTTGCTTAAACTATCTATATCCCTCTGCAGACCTCATGTCATCCTCACTATCTGCCTTCCTACCTATTTTTGTGTCATCTGCAAATTTCATTGCAGAGCATTCATTTTCCTCATCTGAGTCATTTATATATATATTATATATATAGTAAATAATGGTGGCCCCAATACTTTGGAATTTCATTAGTTACAGGTTGCCATCCTACTCTCTATCTTCTCGTAATTCGCCATTCCTCAATTCTTGCTAATATACTACCTTCAATACCATGGGTTCTTATCTTGTTAAGTAATCAATTGTGTGGTACCTCATAAAATGCCTTCTGGAAATCTAAATATATTACCTTTACTGCTTCCCCTTTAGTTATCTTACTTTTGACCTGCACAATGAATTCTAAAAAATTTGTCAGGCATGATTTCCCTTTGTAAAGCCACTCTGTCTCTGCTTGAATATATTGCATATTCTAAATGATCTGCTATTGCAGCCTTAACAGCAGATGTTAAACTAACTGGCCTATAGTTACCTGTGTTTTTTCTCCGCATTTTAAATAAATGTATAACCATGACAGTTTTTCAATCCTGTGGGACTTTTCTAGTATCTAAGGATTCTTGGAAGATTACTACCAATGCATCCATCATCTCTGTAGCTACTTCTTTTAATATCCTAGAATGCATCCATCAGGTCTATTCATTCTTTCTTTCATGTTCATTCTTTCCTGATATATTCACTTACGCATTTCTGATATCATCCTTGTAAATCTTCTTTCTACGTTCTCTTTTAGCTCTTATACTTTTTTCCAATGACCATATTCTGGTGCACACAGTACACTAATGGTCATAGAGTCATAAAGTACAGAAGAGATCCTTTGGCCCATCAATTCTGTGCCAACCTGTCTACATTAATCCCACTTTCCAGCACTTGGCACATATCCTTGAATATTAATACATTTCAAGTGCTCATCCACATACTTTTTCAAAGGTTACGAGGTTTACTGCTTTCTAGGCAGTGCATCCAAGATATCCTATATCCTCTGGGTGAAAATGCCTTTCCTCAAATCCCTTCTAAACTTGTTCTTCACCTTAAAATTATGACTCTCATTAATTAAGGGGAACAACTGCTCCCCATCCACCCTGTCCCCTCTTAGCCTTTTCTGCTGTAAAGAAATTAACCTGAGCCTACCCAGCCTCTTTTTATAACTAAAACATTCCAAGCCAGGCAACATCCTGATGAATCTCTGCACCCCTTCCAGGGCAATCACATTCTTTCTATTGTGTGGCGACCAGAACTGTACATAGTATTCCAGCTGTGGCCTAACTAAAGTTTTGTACATAACCTGCCTCCTTTAACATTCTATACCACAACTGATAAAGGCAAATGTACCGTATGCCTTTTATACCACTCTATTAACCTGTCTAGCCACCTTCAGGGGCCTGTGGACAGACACCCCAGATCTGACTGTTCCTCTGAGCTTCCTAGTGTTCTGCTATTCATTGAGTACTCCCTTGTCTTGTTGCTTCTTCTAAAGTGCATCACCTGACACTTTTAAGGGTTAAATTCCACCTGCTACTGATCTGGCAGTCTGACCAATCCATCTATATCTTCTTGTAACCTAACAAGTTTTCGAGGTACGTAATTTTTGCCGATTTATCGAGAGTGCCGGTTCACAAGGTGGCATTTAAAATAAAGTTTGATGTACTTATAGAACTTCTTAGGATTCTCCCTAATTTGATCTGGCAGTATTTTTTTCATTCCCTCTCTTTCCTCTTCTAACTACTTTCTTAACTTCGCCCCTCCACTTTTTATGTTTCCCTAGGCTTCCATTGATTTGCTTCACTTGCACCTACTAAAAGCCTTTCTTTTCCATCTTACCCAGTCCTGAATATTCCTAAACATCCAGATTGTCTGGGCTTGCTGCTCCTACATTTCACCCTAAAGGGAACATATCTGGCCTGTACTCTCCCAATTTCCTGTTTGAATGCCTCACACTGTTTGTACAAGTAGCTGTTCCCAATCTACTTTTGCCAGATACTGCCTTTCTTAATAAAATCTGCCTTCCCCCAATCCAAAATCCTTTTTCGCAGACTATATTTTTCCTTTTCCATAACAAACTTAAATCATACTGTGCTGTGGTCGCTATCACTAAAATGTTCCCTCACTGCCAACTTGATCATCTGTCTGGCTTCATTTTCCAGAATTAGGTTTAGCACAACACTGTCCATTGTTTGTCCCTCTGCATGTTGAAATAAAAACCACTTCTGAACACATGTCAAGAAATTTGCCCCATCAAAACCCTTTACACTATCCCAATTAATGTTAGGGAAGTTGAAATCTCCTCATATTATTAGGGGTTTACTTATTATTAAACCCTATTATTATTGTTATTACATACCTCGGTGAGTTGTCTACATATCTGCTCCTATATTGCCTGCTGACTGCTGGGAGTGTATTATAGATCTCCAAACAATGTGACTGCCCCCTTTTTCCTAAACTCTGGCCACAAAGCCTTATTCGAAGACCTTTCCAGGATATCGTCCTTTCCTACTGCAGTTACTAACTCCTTAGTTAATAATGCAATACTACCTCCCCTTATGCACCCTACCTGTTTCAGCTGAAGGTCCTATGCCATGGAATATTGATTTGCTAGTCCTGACCCTCCGTCAAGCACATCTCTGTGATGGATAGAATTCCATTTGTCAATCCAAGCCCTTAACTCATCTGTCTTACTTATAATACTCCTAGCATAAAAGTAGAGACCTCTCCCGACTCCCTTGTAGCTCTCTGTTTTGGATCCTTTATTATGCTGTATCCCTGCTGTACTAACACTGTGTCCCTCTTTCTGCTGATCAAGTTTAAACCCTTCACGATAGCACTAGCAAATCTACCAGTATGGATTCTGGTTCCGTACTGGTTAGGTGCAGACTGTTCCACTTGTAGAGGTCCCACCTTCTTTAGAAATAGCCTCAGTGATACAAGAATCTACAACTCTCCCTCCTGCATCAACTCTTAAGCCATGCATTTGTCTTCCCTGTTCTATTTCCATACTTGCTAGTACTTTACAACTTTTGCAGCCCTGCATTTTAATTTACTGCCTAGCTCCCAGAATTCTTGATGCAAGACCTCATCTCATTTATGTTGTTTCCAATGTGTACCACAATCTCTAACTTATCATCCTCCCCCTTCAGGTCAACCAAGGTACAATATACCTAATTATCAATTCTATCTCTCCAGAAATTAAACCTATTTGTTTTTAGACCTTACTAACTCATGGTTCAAGTTATTATAATTTATACTCTGAGATCCCTTTGTTCCTCTTCCCACTTAGGCTTTCACCTTCCAAATAATAAAGGACCTCTCTAACCTTCCTACTAAAATGTACCACTTCTCAAAAGATTTGGATATGGAATATAGAAGGCAAGGTTAGTAAGTTTGTGGATGACACCAAAATCGGTGGTATAGTGGACAGTGAAGAAGGTTATCTAAGATTACAAAGAAATCTTGATCAATTGGGTCAATGGGCTGAGCAGTGGCAAATGAAGTTTAATTTGGCTAAATGAGAGGTATTGCATTTTGGTAAGACAAACAAGGACAGGACTTATACATTTAATGATAGGGCCTTGATGTTGTAGAACAGAGAGACCTAGGGGTTCAGGTACATAATTCTTTGAAATTGTGTTGCAGGTAGACAGAGTGGTTAAGAAGGCATTTAGCATGCTTGCCTTCATTGCTCAGACTTTTGAGTACAGAAGTTGGGAAATCATGTTGTGCAAGACGTTGATAAGGCGTCTTCTGGAATACTGTGCGCAGTTCTGGTCACCCCGCTATAGGAAGGATATTATTAAATTGGAGAGGGTTCAGAAAAGATTTACCAAGATGTTGCCGGGAATGGAGGGTTTGAGTTATAAAAATAGGCTGGATTAGCTGTAACTTTTTTCACTGAGCATAGGAGGTTGAAGGGTGACCTTATTTACAGAGATTTATAAAATCAGGAGGGGCATAGAATAAGTGAATCACAATGGTCTTTTCCTTAGGGTGGGGCAGTTCAAAACTAGGGGGCATATTTTGAAGGTGAGAGGAGGAAGTTTTAAAAAGGACATGGGGGGCAACATTTTTACATAGACAGTGGTTCGTATGTGGAATGAACTGCCAGAGGAACTAGCGGATGTGGGTATGGTCACAATATTGAAAAGACATTTGGTAAGTACGTGAATAGGAAAGGTTTGGAGGGATATGGGCCAAACGCGAGCAAGTGGGACTCATTTAGTTTGGGAACATGGTTGGCATGGACTAGTTGGACCAAAGGGTGTGTTTTCATGCTTTATAACACTATGACTCTATTTATCTGTGCTAACTTGATTTTCCAATTATTTACCCATTCCTGCAAATTTATTAATGTCTGCCTGTAATATGTTGTCATGTAATGACAATTTTCCTCAGTGGGTGAGTGTTGTTGGCCCCAGTGCTCCTGTGTGAAATATATCTGTCAATTCTCGTGTTTTTGTATCCAGGAGTTGGGCCATTGGATTGGTCCCCACTTATGGGCAGATACTGCAATGGTTTGCCATTGCCCATTGCAGTTTTGCTGACCAGGAAACATGCCTGCTGTTGCTGCCTACCATTAGAATATTGGAAGGATTTACAGGCTGACAGTCAACCTGACTGACCATGTTATAACCTTCTACAGCCAACAAGATTTGGTATATGATTCAAACCCAGAGCTTTGGGCACAGAGACAGGCACACTATCCCTGTGCCACAAGACCTCCTTTTGAGTTAAAGAAGGCAATATAAAACAGGATTTGTATCCCTAATTGCTTTGTATTTGCTCCTGCTGGTTTATCCATGTGGTAGGCAGATAAGGCCAATGTTTTTGATGTTCTCCATGATAGAATGTCATGTTGACACATGGGCCAAATTCATACCCTCATGATGAGTGGGCAGTTAGGTGACGAGGTGGGGTATAAAAATTAAAAATCATTTAACATGATTCCAACACAACCTGCTCTGTAAGTGCTCATTGCTGCTTTTATGGTAGCAGGATTATGATGTAGATGCGTGTTGGGTTAGGGTCTGGAGTTTTAAGCTATCTGGGGAAGGTGTAACTGGGGTGTGTGAGATGTTTATGGGGTCAGTTTAATAGTTAATCAGAAGGGAAGGTTCATGGAGTTTACAAGTTGCCCATTGGAAAATTCAGTTTCCTGGATGATTCTTTTGGAGTATGTCATGATTAAGATTCTGCAAGGTCCCCATATGTAAATCCCATCTACACTGGCATTACAGCTTTGTAAAAAACCCATTCATGGTTTTTGAGCTTAAATGTTTTATGTTTAAAGTTAATGAACACAAATTGCCAGTAACATTAGTAAATTCACATTGACTGATAATAGGTTTGGTATAGGAAATAGAAAATATCACACTGAGCAGCAATGGTTACTGTTCTGAAATTTGAAGAATTGAGCATTAGTGGAGCAAACACGAATGTGGTCTTTTATGCATCCCAAAGTATTTCTTTACAACATTTGGCGTTGAATCAGAGAAAGGATGTATATTATCTAGATCTGACACTTCAAATATTGGAGAGCACATACTAATATATAAATTTAATTAAGAGGTTTGCATGATCTAAGAATGAATGCTTTTCTTTTCTTTTTCTTTAGGTGACTTCTGTGCGTAGAATTTTGCTGTTTAGTGGCATTTAATGGGACTTTAAAATCTTGAAAGATTTTAATCGGTTTAAAATTCTTGTTTTCTCCCATAACAGAAACCAAAAATTCCTACTTCTCCTGAAGGACCTCCCATTCCAAAGCCCCCACTGGACCCAGTAGAGGTTAAGAGAGTAAGCAATGCTCGTGCACGACTATTTAAAGTAGCTTCTCACGGAAGTCTTCTGCCTGACAAAGAAATTTATTCTGAAGAAAGTAAGTGGCTTCTCATTTTCTCCATGTCTGTCAATGTGTGTGTGCATAGTTCTATGCTGAAATATTTTATCAAAGAGCTCGTTAATTAACAAGAGATAGAATTTTGATTTGAATTTGAATGTAGCTCAGTATGAAACTAGAGCCTTAAATAAAAACAAGGGCAATATGAAGGTATAAGATGTAGTGGATTGGACAAAATACAATTAAGAAGGTTTGATGGTAGATATGCAACACTTAAATATTTAAAGAATTAATGCTTGGTTTTCAAAAAAACATTCCTTTAAAGCAAAAATGCTCACCCAGAAAATGGAGAGGACATGCCTGTGAAGGGAAGTTAAAGATACTATTAGATCAAAGGAAGAAGTTTGTAAAGTTGCTAAAAAAATTGTAAGCTTGAGGATTGGGAAAATTTTAGAATTTAGCAAAGGAAGACCAATAAATTGGTAAAGAAAGAGAGACGATAATATGAATGTAAAATAGCAAGAAACATAAAAAACATTGTAAATGCTTTTATAGGTATATGAAATGTAAAAGCATAGCAAAGACAAATGTAAGTCAGTTGCAGACAGAGACAGGTGAATTGATAACAGGAATGGCAGAGCAGTTACATAAGGACTTTATTTCTATTTTCACAGAGGAAAATTCAAGAGGTTGCCCTGAAATTATTAAGATCCAAGGATAATAAGAATGTGGAACTAAAAGAAGTTAGTACTTGTGAAATAAAAATAGTATTGGAGAAATTAATGGGCGTGAAAGTTGACAAATTTCTGGGGACCAATGACCTGCACCCTAGAGTATTGAAAGATTAACAGAGATAGTGATTATATTGGTGATCGTTTTCAAAATTTTAATGCTGCTTTCAGATTGGAGGGTTTCAAATGCAACCCACTATTAAAGGAAGGCGGGAGAGAGAAAACAGGGAACTACAGGTCTAATGTCAGCACTAGGGAAAATACTAGAATCTGTTATAAAGGATGTGATTATGGAAGATTTAGAAAATAATTGTTTAATTAGACAGAATCAACATGGATTTATGAAGGAGAAGACATGTTATTGGCAGAGTTGATGAGCGGGACCAGTGGATGTGGTGCATTTGGACTTTCAGAAGGGTTTCGATAAAGTCGCACACAAGAGGTTAGTAAGCAAAATTTGAAGCACGTGGCTTTTGGGATCATATAATAGAAGGGTTTGAGGATTGGTTAACAGGCAGGAAGTAGAGAGTCGGAATAAGCAGATCATTCTCAGGTTAGCAGACTTTGACCAATGGAGTACAGCAAAGAAAAGCATGGGCCCCAGCTGTTCACAATCTATCAATCATTTAAATGTGAGGGCAATTGTAATATATTCAAATTTGCAGATGATACAAAACATGGTAGAAATTTCAATTGTGAAGCAAATGCAAAAGGGAATTTAGACAGGCTGAATGACTGGGCAAGATAGATGAAATATGATGTGAATAAATGTGAAGTTTTCCACTTTGGTAGGAGGAATGAAAATGTAGATATGTATTAAATGATGAGAGATTGGAAAGTGTTGATGTTCAAAAGGGCCTAGGTGTCCTTGTCCATTAGCGAGAAAGATTGCAACAAGCAATTTGGAAAGCAAAAAACATACGAGCATTTATCACAAGAGGATTTGAGTACCAGAGAAAAAAAAATGTCATGCTTTAGTTTCATAGAACACTGGCAAGATTACTTATGGAGTACTGGGTGCTGTTTTGGTCCTCTTGCCAGGGGAAGGATATACTTGCCATAAAGGGAATACAGCAGAGGTTTACCAGACTGACTCCTAGGATGGTGGGACTGACCTGTGAGGTGAAATTGAACAGGTTGGGCCTGTATTTCTGGAGTTCAGAAGAGTGAAAAACAATCTCGGACAAACTTACAAAATCGTAAAGAGATAAAAGATATAGATGCAGAAAGGATATTTCCTCAGGCTTTTTTGTCCAGAACTAGTGAATATAATCTCAGAATAAAAGACAAGCTATTTAGGACTGAGGTAATGAGGAACATCTTCATTTAGAAGCTCAGTCATAACGTAAATTCAAAGCAGAGAGTAATAAATTTCTAGTTATGATTGACATCAAGAGAGGTAGAGGAACAGCACTCCATTCTCCACTTAGGTACTTTGCAGCCTTCAGAACTCCACATTGAGTTCAGCAACTTCAGAGCCTGACCTCTGTCGTTCATCTGTGCCCCCAGCATCTCCACCGTGTCTTGTTGGCTTTGCTCTGCTTTGTATAGTGACCCCCTTTTCTCCTTTTCACACATATTTTACATCCATTTTGTTCTTTTTAATACCATTAACAGTTTCTTTGTCTTTTGCTTTGAGCACCCTTCCCATCTGTTCCACTCAGTCCGCTTCCTCCTCTGTCAACAGTGTAAAAAACACAATTTTCCAGTCCTTGTAGTTTTGAAGAAGAATCAAACTTGAAATGTTAACTCTGCTTCTCTGTGCACAGATGCTGCCAGACCGGCTGGGTTTCTCCCGCGTTTTCTGTTTTTATTTAAGGAATATGAAGATCCCATGGGAATATGGTGTTGAGATAGAACATCAACTATGTTTTTGAATGGTAGATCAGGCTCAAGGTGCTGATCGGCCTATTCCTACTCCTATGTTTACTAACTTGTTTAATTCATTTAACATTTGAGAAGTTATATATTGTCTCTTTATGTGTAGTAAGGTAAAGAGAAACAAAAAGCATGCTGGAAGTACTCAATCAGTCTAGCAGCACCTGAGAAGATAGAAACTAATTAACAGGTGGAAAATAAGACATCAGGGTCTCATTTGCCGGCTGGAGAGGCAGTGACAAATCTATGGTAAAGATAACAAGGTGTAGAGCTGGATGAACACAGCAGGCCAGGCAGCATCACAGGAGCAGGAAAGCTGATGTTTCGGGTCTGGACCCCTCTTCAGAAAAATGAAGAAGGGCCCAGACGCGAAACATCAGCTTTCCTGCTCCTCTGATGCTGCCCGGCCTGCTGTGTTCATCCAGCTCTACACCTTGTTATCTCAGACTCCAGCATTGGCAGTTCCTACAAATTTATGGTGCCTCTTTTTTTCAGAAAGACCTGCAAATCACAAGCCAATCAGGCAGTGACAAGGTTCATGGTATGGGGGTAACATATACTGGTATGGATAAAAGATTGGACAACTAACAGGAAACAGAGTAGCCATCAATGGGTTATTTTCTATTTGGCAATATCTAACAAGTGTGTGCTGGGGTCTCAACATTTTGCAACTATTCTAAATGACTTCGATAAAGGGATCAAAGTTATGGTTGGTAAATTTTCTGATGATAAAAAATAAAAAAAATTTTAAAAGAAAAGAGCTAAGATAAAATATGAAAGAAAACTAGCAGCACGAAATGTCAAAAAGGATAGAAAAAGCTTCTATAGGTATATAAGAGGGAAGAGAGTAGCTAATGTGAATGTTGGTCCTTTAGAAGATGAAATCAGAGAGTTAATAGTGGGGAACACTGAAATGGCAGAGATGATAAATCAATACTTTGGCTCAGTTTTCACGGTGGAGGACAATAGTCCGATTTCTATTGGCACAGGCAAGTCAGAGGCAATAGAGAGGGTAGAACTTAGAACAACCAACATTCATAGGGAAAAAGTATTCAGCAAACTATTAGGATTGAAGGCAGACAAGTTCCCCTGGCCTGTTGGCCTACATCCTAGAGTATTAAAGGAAGTGGCGGCAGAGATAATGGATCCATTGATTACAATATTTCACAATCCCCTGGACACGGGAAAGGTTCCAGTGGATTGGAAAAATCTTAATGTAATGCCCTTATTCAAAAAGGGAGGGAGGCAATATGTGGGAAATTACCGAGCGGTTAGCTTAACATCTGTTATTGGGAAAGTGTTAGAATCAATTAATCAGGACCTTTGGAAAGTCAAAATGCTATCTGTCAGAGTTAACATGGTTTTATGAAGGGCGAATCATGTTTGACTAATTTGCTAGAGTTCTTTGAAGATGTGATAAGCAAAGTGGATAATGGGGATCCTGTAGATGTAATATATCTGGACTTCTGGAATGCGTTTGATAAAGTGCCGCACAAAAATTTAATTCAGAATGTTGGATCATATGGGATGAGGAGTAATTTATTAGCTTGGATAGGTGACTGGCTGATGGACAGAAGACAGAGAGTCCAGATAAATGGGTTATTTTCCGGTGGCAAGAAGTAACAAGTGGGGTCCCACAGGTTTCAGTCCTTGGACCCCAGCTATTTACAATCTACCTTAACGACTTGGATACAGGGATAGAAGGCTCTATAGCCAAATTTGAGGATGACACAAAAATAGGCGGGATGGTAAATAGCAAAGAGGAAATAAGAACCTTACAAATGGATATTGGTAGGTTAGAAGAGTGGGCCAAAATGTGGCAGATGGAGTTTAATGTGGAGAAGTGTGAGGTCGTGCATTTTGGTTGGAGAAATGGGAAGGCAACCTACTATCTAAATGAGGAGAGACTTTGGGATACTCCAGCGCAGAGGGATCTGGGTGTCTTCGTTCATGAGTCACAGAAAACTAGCATGCAGGTACAGCAGATGATAAAGAAAGCGAATGGAATGTTGGCCTTTATACCTAATGGAATAGAATATAAAGGCAAGGAAGCATTGTTGCAACTATACAAGGCATTGGTGAGACTGCACCTGGAATATTGTGCACAGTTTTGGTCCCCTTATTTGAGGAAGGATGTGGTGGCATTGGAGGCAGTTCAGAGGAGGTTCACTAGATTGATCCCAGAGATGAGAGGTTTGTTGTATGAAGAGAGATTGAACAGTGTAGGCCCATACCCTCTGGAATTTAGAAGAATGAGGGGATATCAAATTGAGGTATTCGGGATAATTAAAGGTATGGATAACATGGATGTGGAATGGATGCTCCCTCTTGTGGGGCATTCTAGGATGAGAGGTCATAGTTGTAGGATATGGGGTAGCAAATCTAAAACAGAATTGAGGAGAAACTACTTCTCCTAAGGGGTGGTGAATC